GCAACGACTAAAATTGGCCTGCAGGCAGGTGGAGCAATTGCCTGCAACGACTAAAATTGGCCTGCAGGCAGGTGGAGACAATTCAGGTACACTGGAAAGCACACCCTGCACCAAGCACAAGGAAGCACAGGGAGCAGGTCACAGGGAACAGGCTAGGTTTGTTGTCTTGTTCCCTCATGGACCAGTATAGTCGCCATGCAGATTTGCATGAGTGACCCACAGTGATCCCTGCAATTGGGGCACATCAAAGAATTCTGACAATATCATTAACGAGTGTCAAAACTTGATACTCTGCCGTGTTTCGAAATGAGCTTCCTGTACCGCTTCCCTCTTCCCAAATCACCTTTCACAGGAAGAGAGTGTCGCTGCTCCACACAGGTGCAACCCTGCAGACACTCTGGCATGTTTCGAAATGAGCTTTTCCCCTAACGCTTCCCTTATCCCAAATCACCTTTCACAGGAAAAGAGCGAATATTTGCATCAGGGACCGAAGGTGATCCCTGCAATTGGGGCTCATAAAAGAATTTTGACAATATCAGTAAGGAGTGCCACAAACTGATACTGTGCCATGTTTCGAAATGAGCTTCCCGAACTGCTTCCCTCTTCCCAAATAACTTTTCACAGGAAGAGACTGTCGCCGCTCCACACAGGTGCAACGCTGCAGACACTCCGGCATGTTTCGAAATGAGCGTTTCCCCTTTTTTTTTTTTTTTTTTTTTAAATAAGAAAATCACTTTATCTATTGGTGGGGAGCTGCACCTGCTGGAAAACGGGTCCAGCGTCCCATATGAACAATGAAAATTAGTATCAGACTTGTGTAACGCTTCCCTTTTCCCAAATCACCTTTCACAGGAAGAGACTGTCACTGCTGCCGGCTTCAACCCTGCGCTTATAGTGCTAATGTGAGACTTCCGCCAAGAAATCTCTTTCCCTTCGTTGGGTCTATTTCGGTCTTGGCAAGGAGACCGCTCCCAAGCCGAAGTCCCACTTAAAGCGAAGCACTGGTTTCAGACTGTGTACCAAGTAGTGCAGCACAACACTGAAATGTAGGAAATTAACTTTGAAGAAAGAAAGGAGCCATTCCTCCACCCAGCAATTGATCTTATGGTACGTGTTTCAAGGTGTATCTAATTATACAAGAATGCTCTGGTAGTGTGCACCACCGATTCATCAGACTTTGCAGTAGGAGCTGTACTTTCTCAGGTGTTCCCTCTCCTCCTGATTCACCTTATCCCCATGTTCCTTGGTAGGTGTCTTTCGCGCTCAGACCCGCTCCATCTCAGTAACCTGTACAACACGAAATACGTAGCAGTACCTGCTTTGTGCATGTTTGGCATTATACTTTTTCAGAGTTTTCTGCCATTCGGCAAGTTTCGTCACGATCGTAAGTTTTTGCATTTGGAGAGCAGCTTTGACATTGACAATGTTCGAATAGGTCCACGAGTTTCCACCGGCCTAAGGTCTGACGCTTCCAGCACACTCTTCTGGTCCACATTTGTGTCGAGAAAGGTCCGCATCTGCACTGAGAAGCGAGCACAACCATGTAGGTGCAAGGAACAAGTAGCATAGAAGCTTCTACGGACGGCCTTGGGGCTCAACAGGTTGCTTATCTACATAACCCCAGCCTCACCAGAGGGATCATTCAGGCCGGACGCCGCAAGGCTGCTGGACTGTTTGATTGTTGGATTGGCGCAGATGGTTGCAAAGTTGCACTGTGAGCTGTGTCGTCATTCTGCCTGTGGTGGCTGACACCATCACTGGCCCTAGTAGCTGGAGAGCCTAGGGCATAAGGAGGTTGGTGCTTGGCTTCCACGGCCGATTCAGTAGAGGCAGGAGGGCACTCGGGCCACTCACTGGCTTTCCGCCAACTCAAGAAAATTGGGTAACAACCGGATTTTCAGGCGCGCAGTTGACGGGCGCCTGCCGACTCTGGGAGGCGTTGATTGGCCTGAGGCCCTGAGCTGTGTCCAGTCTTGTTCCCCAGGAAGCATTCAAGGCTGAGGGTAACGGGGTGCTTATCCGGTGTTCTCAAGACTTTTGTAGCTGCAGTGTGAGTATGCCTAGCGTGAGCATTCCCTTCGGCCGTCACTGTCAATGACGGCCTTCGGACATGGCCTCCTCTAGGGGATTATCTGGTGTTCTCAAGACTGCTGTAGATGCAGTGTGAGTATGCCTAGCGTGAGCATGCCCTTCGGCCGTCACTGTCCATGACGGCCTTCGGACATGGCCTCCTCTAGGGGACCATGGGGCAGTCAAACCGCAGCCCAGACAGAGGAGGCCTAGCAGCCATGGAAAGGACCAGTGGCTGCCAACCTCTGCCGTTGATCGCGATTTTGACAGCAGGAGTGGGAGTTGTGGCCACTGACACCTGAGACTCAGCTACTCCGGGGTCAGGCTAACGGTAGCTTTGGCAAGTCCAGAGTTGCGCAAAGAATAGGCTCCACAAGAGAGGTTTTCAGAAACAATTCCGGTTTGTAAATGTCCACACGCATTGGACAACGAACGCAATCATTGTGGCCATACACAGGCTTCTACCTACTTCCCATGTCTACAGGGGTCTCATCCCTATCCCCAGGGCACCCAGTTCGATCACTCAAAAGGTTGTGGTTCAAAAGGGGGCGTCCTGCACGTATTCAGGGAAGAGCCACCCCAGCTACTGGTAGTTTAACCCCTGCGGGTGGGCTGGTATCCCCACACTCCCTCTATGTCCAAGAAGGAAAAAGGGAAAAAGAAAAAAGATAGGACTGTGGGTTCGATCTTTCAGACGTCAGCAATCAAAGCCTGGAGTTTTTTTCATTTTTTTTAATTATTATTTAGAGGTAGGAGTTCTTGATTGGTAAACAGGGGATCTGTTTGAGCCGGCGAGAAGGACACTCTGGATGTGATCGCCACTTCCGCGGGGGCCGGCATCGTTCTCCATAATCTACCGTAACTACCTCATACTGAGAGATGCTGAACAAAAGTACCAGCAGATCCGGAGCCAAGTCCCACAATGAGTTCTCCAGCTGTCTTCGACGAGGCCCAAGTGTGGCCATGAGACTTTCAGAGCGGATACCTTTCTCGGCCTTTTGGCTAAGATCAAGTGTAGTACCTGTTCTGATCAGTTTAATATCTGATCCGTGGTCCATCGGGCCACATGAACTAAGAAAAAAGTAAAAAAAAACCAGACTTTCAGAGCGGACGGACAGCGCTGAAAGA